GGGCATAACAATCGCGAGGGACAGAACCAGAGAGTCTCGAAGACGCTTGGCACCATCGAGTACGCTTAACACCACGCGTGAACCATAAGCAGGAATCCATCCCTTGCTCGAGTGGCAGATGGGCCGATCGGAGCGAGCAGTTTTTGTTTCGATCCAATCGGCTCCCTGGTCGCGCGCCATCATTCGCTCGTACTTGGGCACTCGCTTGTCAGCCAGATTTGCAGCGGGGGCGGGGGTGCAGCGTATATTGAAATATGGGAAGGAGGGCTGGGCGAGCATGGGGAGGTTTTGGGTGGTTCAATCGAAGTTGAAGTGGCGTTCTGGTATAAAGGATACGTCCTCTACGCGGTGCTGTCTGGCATCGGGAGTCTTGCGCGCCCGAGCGGCCCGCTGCAGGGCAGCGATCTCGCCCCGCTCGAGAGCTTTCTCGCTCGACGCGACTGGGCGGTCGTCGGAGGCGCGGCAACGACTTCGCCCACTGGGGGCATCCGAAGTCTAGACAACTTGGCCGTGCTAGCGAAGCCCGGCATTGCAGCAGTCTTTATTGAACGCAGAGTGCGCAGATTGGTTCGGCTTCAGTCTTCACTGCGGCACCCGCTCGGAGGAGCTCAGGTGCCGGCAGTGTCGATCGGAGCCTTAAAGGTGCAGGTGTGGGGGGGGGGGGGCGGAACAGGCAGGGGCTTCTTCGGGCGGCGAGTCTTTAATGGACCCATGGGCGCGACAGTGGTTGCGCGATATTTAAGCGCCGGAGTGTTGCGACGACGGTGCAGTTCCTTTGGGAAGGCATGATATGCGCGCGATCTTCGATCGCGGAGGGGAGGGGGCATTTCGTTCAGCTCGACTTCGAGGTCGCGACGACGACGGGCACACAGGTGGAGTAGGTGGGCAGTTTAGATGTTGGGCGAAGCCCGACGACGGCACGAGGGCCACGGCGTGCTTCGGCGCGCGCGCGGCACTTACCTCGCGCTGCGCACGCAAGCACGAGGCCCAAATATTAGGGCGCGTCGCTCGCGTCAGCAAGCAGCGCATTTTCTGTGGAACCAGATTCACGACATGCGCAAGGCCAGAGGCACCTCACTGCTGCACTACATATTCATGTTTGCAAAGGTCGAGGCCGTCTCTGCGAGGTTGGCTGGCTCCGAGGATCCAGCGGCGCTGCGCTCTCGCATTCTCAGCGCCCATCTTGAGCCATGCCTCGACCAGCGCATAATTCATTTCGGCCTCGAGATGGGCGACGAGGTTGAGATCCGCTCGATGGCGTTCGTGACTGATGACGCGGCTCCGCCCGACAGGGCGCGCCGATGGCCGCTGATGACGCAGCCGCCGAAGGCGGCAAAGAAGGAGGAGCCGAAGGGGTCAGCTCAGCGCAAGCTCGAAAGCCGCGCGAGGAGCCTCGACCGCGGCAGCGCAGCCCAGACATATCCGCCCAAGGACTGCGCAATTGTGGGGGCGGGGACGGCGGAGTGCAATGCGTATCTGGCGGGGCGGAGGAGAAGGGGAAAAGGGCGCGACCTGGGCCGGCTCTCTTAGGTATCGACGGCTTCTTGCATCCGGGAGATTGCCCTCTGGCGCTCCGCTGTGCAGGGGCGTCGGCGCGAGGGTCCGCGCGACGATGGATAGACGCGAATCAAAGAGCGCGGGTTTTCGAGCGCGTTCGATTCGAAGGTGATGGGGCTCGCTCTGTGTCTTCGGGGCCACGTGCTCGCGGCAAGGGGCGCGGGGCCGCTCGGGGGCTCAACGCGCGGCGTGCCGACGCGTGGGGGGGGGGGGCGCCGACAGATCCTCAGTGGGGAAGGGTACTTCAGAGGAGCCCGATGGAGTTGCCCGCGATCGAGGACCATGCGTTCGCGGGGATCATGGCGTGCCCCGTGCATATTCTGAGCGCGGCGGGAGGGACTTGAAAGCTAGGCCGTGGCCCAAGGGGCGCAGTCGCCAAGGGCCTCGGGGGCAGGTAATTGCGCTGTATAGCTGCGGCCCTGTTCTGCCCGACCCGCCCCCTCTGGATTGCAAATCGGCCTCCAGGGCGAAAGCTCTTCCGCGCGTTACATACGGGCCCTGGGAAAAGTGCCCTGGCCTGCTCGGTCTCGCTCGCTCGCGAGTGGCTCTGGGGGCCCCGCCTCCGTTGGATGTCGGGGGCCTGGAGCTGCTCATAGGGGTGGCTCGTGCGGGGCTGCTGGGGCCCCTGTGGCTCCTGTGGGGCGCGGGGCGGGGGGCTGGGCCGTCGGGTCTGGCTTGCTGGGCCACCCCCCTGCGAGCAGCAGGCGTTCCGACCGAGCTCAGCCGCGCTGTGTCGCGGCCCCTCGGCGGCGCTGATTAGCGCATTTTGACGCGCCGAGTTGCAGGCGTGCTCAGAGCATCGAGGTTAACATTGTGGAGCTATGCTTCAACGGGAGAGTTGGGCGCAGGAATAGGAATAGGAATAGGACTAGGCATCGGAATGGGAATAGGAAAAGGAGTAAGAATAGAAGGAGCAAGGAGGAGGAGGAATAAGAGGAGGATGAGGAAGAGGAGAAAGAGGGAGGCACGAGGGGATGGCGCTTTCCAAAAAGGCCGGCTGGCGGGCCGCCCGATCTCCGGCGAGCGCGGCTCGGCCACGCCCGCCGCCGCCGCGTCGGCGCATTCCCGCGGCAGCGCCTGCCTGCCACCCCGCCGCCGCCTGCCGCAGCGCGGAACTCTCGCGGCATCGAATGCCATCGCGCCGCTAGTCCAATTCGAGGTTTGCCATCATCATCGTCATCATCATCGATTGCAATAGCCAATTTGGCTCAAGCGCTTGCTTGGCCCGTGGCTTCCTGGCCGCGCGTGCGCCCCCCGCCGCCCCCTTCTTCCCGCGCGGTGGTGGCCGGCCGCTCGGGGCGGATTTGCACCCGAGTGGCACAGGGAGTTCCGGCTCATCTGTCAGTTTCTGCTGCGTCAGCCAAGGGCATCGGCAAGCTCAAAATGGCAATTCGTCGCGATGAGCCTCTTCTTTAACGTGCTGGTCGGATATTGATTTTGGCAGCCTTGGATTCGCTCGCGCCCCTTTTTTGTGCTGGGTGTCGCAGTTGATCGCGGGCATCGACGCGCGAGTACGAGTAGTAGCGAAGTGCATGTCTGGTTTCGGCCTATTCCTGATGACCAGCATCCCGTCGGTGATGATGAATATGATTCGCAATTCGGTCCAGGTGGCGATGGTGGTCCTCGCGGGCGTGGTCCTCACTGTCGTGGGCGTTCAGAGGTTCGTCAAGATGTTCAGGGGCGCGACCCGTGGCATGCACATGGTGGCTTTGATCCCTTGTTTGGTGGGCAGCATCGTAGTGCCAAAGCTCCTCGACGTTGTGCTAGCGGTGCCGTATGTGCTGATCTCCCTGGGCGTGCAGATCTACTTGCTGAGCATGGTAGTGTGGTTCATCTAGATGAGGTTGGTCCTGGTGATCTCCGTCCTGAGCCTGGCCATGCAGGTCCAATTCCTGAGCATGTGTGGCGTGTTCTCCCTGCGAGTGGCATGGGCCTCTCCCGTGAGCATGGTGATGATCTCCGTCGCGACCCACGTGTGGACCTCCTCTCCAGTCTCCCTGGAGGTCGTGCCGTCGTTCTGGATGAACCTGCCCGTGCAGTTCCTCTACATGAGCCTGATGGCGACGCCCCCCGTCGTGACGCTGGTTGTGCAGTTCTTTTTTCCTGGGCCTGGTCGTGCTGATCGTGGGAGTGCAGATCTACGTTCTGAGCAGGGTCGCGCGGGTCCTCCTGATGGTCGACCTCATGATCGTGATGCTGTCGCTATACGCGCCGGTGGGACTAGTCGAGGTGCTCTACTTGACCATGGTCCCCCTCTCTGGACCTGGCCCGTGGGGGCCGTTGCTACGTGGCTGCCACTCTCCTACGTGCAGGCGCTTCTTCGGCGTCCTGGTCTTCTGCCTCCTGAGGGTGACTCTGTCTTTGAAGCTGGGCCTTTCGCTTCGTCCTTTCCGTCTGTGCCGACGTTCCCCGCTCTATCTGAAGTGGCGGCTGGTGCAGGAGTTGTCGAGGCGGCTGCTGGTGCGCAGGCCGTGGTGCGCAGCGTGGTCAGACACTGCGTGGCGAGGTACGTTGAGGAGTCAGCCGTACGAGGTGCTTCAGCTTCTGAGTATGGTCGCGTGCAGGCCTACATTGCTAGGCGCTCGAATGCCTGTGTCGCTAGCGCTGTTGCCCGGCAAATGGCGGTATCGAGACCATTTTGGTCTTCTAAGGGGCCAGCTCGCACATGAGAACGAACTGATTCTCAGCGAGATTCGAAACACTTTAACACGCCAAATATGAGGGAGGAAGTTAGCAGTCATCACCATCGATTGCAATCGTGCCATCAGCATCGAATGATGCACGCTTCCCTCGTGAAGTTTCTCATGTTTTGGATTCCCTCTCCCCCTATTTTCTGCGTCTGCTGCCTGTAAACTTACCTGCATTGATATCCCGACCCAGCCCGCGATGACCTTTGCTTGGCGGCCCATTCCTTTGACCCCCCCCTGTGGCCGACTGGCCCCGGGGGGGGGGGGGGGGCGTGGGTGTGATAGCTACGTTGAATAACACTCGTGACGTCAGGGCCTGAAGGTCTCAGGACGCCGATGAAACGGAAAGGGAAAAAGAAAACGACGGGAAGGTGGAGGAAGAGGACGACGACGAGGTGAACGAAAAAAGAGAGCAAATGGACGGACGGAGAAAACGAAAGGAAGGCGGGGAATGGCGAGCGGGATAAGAAGGGATGTAAAGAGGAGCAGGAGGTGGAGGGGGACGAGGAGGAGGAAAAGGAGAAAACAAAACGGGCAAGCAGGACGGGACTGATGCATGACGAACGGGGGAAATGGGGCAGGATGGGTAAGGACGAGTCGTGAACAAAGGGCAGGAGCAAGGAGGAAGGAGGGAAGGATGATAATGATGTTGGACCGGTGGGTACTGGATGAAGATTGTGGAAACGAGTAAACACAGTATACATCGAGTGAAAACATTGAGGATGGCGATCGATGGCGAGCTGGACACACCCATAGCTGGGGTGCCGTCGGATGTCCACGTCTCCGTCATCATCGGGTTGGGCTTGGAGCCGGGCGCTTAAAATTGGGGGGCGTGTGCGTAGACAGTGGAAACGAGCGGATGGGGTTGGTTCCGCCTCTTGCTCGCCCTTCTGGATGAACCGCGCCAGAAAGAAACGACGAGGATGGTTGTCCTTACCCCTCTTGCTTATGCTACCGTTCGTCCTCCTAACCTGTGTCCCCCTCGTGCCTTTTTCTTCTCCGCTCTGGTTCCTTGTGAAATGCTCTTCTTTGCCACACAGCATGGCGCCGCGTCGCACGTCCAAACGCGCAGGCAATGCGGTCTGTGATTTCCGCTTCAGTCCTTCATCACAATCCAATTCCCCAGCGCCTGGAGCGTCAAGGCATCACATGGGTCTTGTGCGTTTCATGGTTAGATTTTACTCACGTGTGGCCAGCAGTTTTGTCACCATGCTTGTCCGTGCATATTAACATGTCCAACAGTTACTGTGGTTAAGGGCGCAATGTTCACAAACACAGGATATGGTGTTCGCTTCATACTTCTTATCAGTCTTATGGCCCTTGGAATCGACCGTTCCAACAGTCACATTGGCGGAGGGCGGTTACCTTTGAAGTTACATACTTCGCAAAACAATTTCTCAGATCGTATGGCTTTGAGGGTTGACGCTCCCAGAGAGTGCACAGGTTTATTCAAAGTAGTGTTTCCGTTTGTTGCGCCGCGTAAATGTATTTCCAAATGCATGCTGCATGCATTTACGCTGGCTCTGGTCAAATAGACGTGCTGGCGAATTGCGTATCCTTTCCAGCCCATTCAGAATCGATTCCCAGGCAAGCTGGCCTGGCCAGACAAGTGTAGGAGAAGACAGTGATATCAGTCAAACCGATGCTCAGAACAATCTTGAGCAGACCCAGGTGCAATCAATCATAACAGCTGTCGCAGATTTGTCGCTCTGGGGGTGTATTGCAGATTTCTCGGGGCCATATTGGGACTGCCTTGGGGCCGTCTTGGTGGTCGTTGGGACTTTCGTACATCAATCGCATGGGGGACGGCACTACTTACGCCCGTCCCTTTTTGCAGCCTTGGAGCCTTCTCGGGACGCTCGTGGGGCGCTCATGGGGGAATTTCGGGCCTAATTCGGCCCCTTTCTGAGCTCCTCTTCGGTGTATCTTGGGTGCTCGTGGTAAGGCCCCAGAAGCTTGCCGCCGCGATCTAGAACAGGAAGGCACGCATCATGGAACAACATCTGTCGCAGCGCTGTTTCTTCCGACGCGCGACTGTCCGTCCTGGGGAGGGCGCCGCGGCCACCAGGGCAAACGCCTCCTCGGGCGCAGGGCTTGCCGTGGTGCTTGCCGCGGTGCCAGCGTCGTCTGCCTGTGGTTCGGGGCGCAGGGCGTGCCGTGGGTTTGCCTTACTGTCGACGTCGTCCACTTGGGCTCGTCGAGGAGTGTTGGCCAGAAACCTCCTAACTGGGCCCTCCCCAGCCGAACCTCCTAAATGGATCCATATTGGGCCTACCTGCCAAGGTGGGTTATATCTGGCCTACTACCCAAACTGTTGGTGGCGCGGCGACATCTAAAGTGTTTGAAGGACCCTGGCCTCTCCGGGGAATCCTTCAGGGGGCTTCGGGGCCACCGCGAGCCGTCGTGCGGCGGTATCTGATGCCTTTTTGAGATATGTCGGAGGTCATCGCGGGCTGCAGTCGGGCGGGTGGTGGTGGGGGGGTGATTTAGATATGGGGTGAAGAAACGAGCCCCTCTAGGGCACCCTCCATTTAGGTCACCTCCCTCCACCGCCCGCCCGATCAGTGTGAGGCCATGTTATGCTATGTGGGGCCATCTGGGAGCCATCTCGATGCCCTGGCCGCGCGCTGATCCACTTACAGTCAAGACCTTGACACCAGGAATAGTTTCGGAAGGGCTTGACGTTTCTTAGGTTCTTCCATGGCTCTTCGTCTAACCCTCCTTGTGCACGCAGGCGCTTTGGGGGTCAAAAAGGGGTTTCGTTCCTGACTGGCCGTTCCTCATTTCAACAGTCCGACTGTGTGCCCAGAGGGATGGTGGGATTCGTGTTCGGGCACGGGGCTGGACTGGAGACGGGAGGGCATATTGCGAAGGCCCTACGGTAGGTGCCGCCGTCTCTGAAGGGGTGTGCGACGACGACAACGGCGGCGGCACGACGACGACGCTAACATGAGCCAGGGTCCTCAGGGTTGCTTCTTGGGGTCTCGTCGGAAGGCTCTCGGGGGCCTCTGGGGAGGAATCTTGGGGCCTCTTGGGGGCCTCTTGGGAGCCTCTTGGGGGCCTCTTCGGGCTTCCTTGGGACCTCTTGTGGGCCTCTTGCGGCCTCTTGGGGGCCCCTTGAGGCCTCCTGGGGGCCTCTCGGTTCAGAGGGCTCGGATTGTGAGTTCGGGCCTCCGTCTGGGCACGCTCTTGGAGCCGTTTTGGGTGCCTTTTGGTTCTTAGGCCGTCTTGGAGGCGTTTTGGGCTGTCTTGGGATCCTCTTGGGCTGTTTTGGGGCCCTCTTCGAGGCCTCTTGGGGCGATCATTGGGGCCTCTCTGGCCGTCTTGGAGCGGCGGGAAGAGGAACAGGCGAGACCGCCCACATCCTTACACATCCAAGGCGCACCAATGATTCCCCCCCCTCTCCCCTCCCCTCTCCCCCCCTCCCCCCCCTCGGGAGTGTTCTTGGAGGCTTCTTTGGGCATCTTGGGGGCCTCTTGGGCAGTCTGGAGGGCGTGAAGGCGTTTTGGACAGATCGTTTGGCGATCGGGTGCCCTCTTGGACCTCCTCGGGGGCCTCGCGTGTTAGCTATAACCAGTCATCTCGCAGCCCTCCAACATTTTACTTGTTCCATAGTTGCTCCATCTCCATAATCACGTCGTCTCAAACTTTACAGGGAGGGATTCCACTGTAATGTAAACTCTGCGGCACGAGGAGCTTCCACGAGACAGCGGCAGCTGGCGCCGTTTGACAAACATGATTGTTTGTTGTATTGGGTTCCGACATTTCCTTTCAGTGAAGAGGTTTGTGCACACGCTGTCGCTCTCCGCCAGGGCTGAGAGAACAGGTCGGCTTCGCTAACATATATGGCAGCGATGCTACAGTGGAGATCCGAACGACGACACGTTCTACACCAATGTGTGAGACCGATATTGGAGTTCCAACGTGGAACGGATATTTTCTTCTCTTCGAGAGTTACGCCAACGCCGTTCCCTAGTATAGAGCAGGGCCGAAGTCGAATGAGAAAGGCTTGGCCGCAGCTCGTCTGTGGTCGTCACTGAAGGAAGCTGCCGCGGAGGCGGGGAAGGATTCACGACCATTGACGATACTGAACGGCGATTGGCAATTCGCTCCGACACCTTCGGGAAGGACTTTTGGCCAAGATGTCACTTCCCGATGCCCATCAGAGGCTCAGAGGATATAATCAGGTGTCTCGGACGATTGGCGAGGCGATCGCAGAAATATCATCAGAGAGGATAGCCTGTTCAGGGAGATGCGGCAAACGTTGCGGAGAGCACGAGGGGATTGGCAGCGTCGCTATGGTCAGAAGGCTGGTGGGGCATTCCTGCCTAGAGTTGCTGAAGATGGCGAGACTACGGCGACGAGAACGACGTCAGAAACGGTTACAGGTGAAGAGCGATTCGAAGAAGTAGCAGAGCAGTGGGAAACATACGAGTCGGACGGGGTCAAATTTTACCTGGGGAGTGCTGACGACCGGGAGTTGAGTTTTTTTTCCAGTCCGAGCTTCGAGGTTTTCGCCTTCTACACAATGCTCGGCGTGGGCGCGATGAGAAACATATGTTTTGTTTTTCGGGTATTCAGAGTGACGCTAGCTACCTGGGGGTGGCGACGCAACTTCGGGCCGCTTGGGGCGATATGGACATGCGCGATCGAGATCGGCCACAGCAGAAGGGTTTCAGAGGTCGTGTGTTTGCTTTCGAGCAGGACGATATTGAGGAATGGTGTTCGGCTCTCTAGGGCGAAGATGACGGTTGGCAGGTAGATTGGCAGTGCGACGACGCTTCCAGTATCTGGTGGTGTGGATTCTATCCTGCTGGCTATGTGGGTGCTGAGTCCTGGGCCATCGACTGGAAGGATGACGAATCTGGTTCGTGGCCATCTCAGGATTGGGATCAGAAGCAGCGGGTGCAGTGCGCTGGTCAGGGCCCCCAGCACCAGCAGGGCGGACCCACTCAGGAAACCAAGGCGCTGGCGGAGCAAGCGGCCGCCGCAGAGGTTCTCGCAGCAGGAGCCAGTCGCACCACGACCGAGGCGCACGCGGCAGTGGCCGAGGCTCGCAAGGACAGAGGTTTCTTTCCGAGCAAGAGCAGGCCGAGGGGAGGCGCGTCGAGCAAGAAAGGCAAGGGATGTTTGATCCGTGGCCGGCCTGATCACCGCTGGCGCGAGCGTCCTGATCGCCGCTCGGCCAATGACAAGCAGGTCGCTCCCAAGGGCGAGGGCTTCGGATCCCAGGGCGGCCCGGAAGGCAAGGCCAGTTTCGGCAAGAACAAGGGCCAGCCATCGCAATGCATGGGGTGGGGTATATTCGATCTTCACGTGATCTGGCCCATGTCCAACCTCGCGTCGCGCGAGCTGGCGCCGGACTGCGGGGCGACTACTCTGGGTGGAAGCAGAGGCGCGGTGGCCTCGCTCGTCGAGGCGGCGATGAGTGAGTATCCGCGGGCCGATTGCCGCATCGACGGAGACGGGGGGCCGTGGTTCAAGCTTGCACATGGAGAGTGGGGTCAGGCTATGTCCGAGGCGTGGCTCCATTCGCCTGCGGGATGGCTCGGCGCTCATGTTTTGGACGCCGACGACGTGCCGGTCTCGACGGGGGTCGGTCGGTTGAGCGCGCGCGACGTGGCATCCAGGAGCAATTCCCTGCAGCTCTACGACCGGGAGGGCAAGCAGGCGGAGGCGGCGGGTCTGCGCCGAGGCCGCTCTGGGCGCAGGCTCCTGGACGCGCCGGGGCCCCTGCGGCCCAGGGGGCCGACCAGCCGTGGGCAGCGCGCCGGTGCCCGAGACTTCCTTGGGCACGCAGGCGACCCGAAAATGTCGGGTGCTCATTTCTACACTCAGTCAGATGCGCCCCGTCATCATCACCATCGTCAGTCAGACGCTCCAGCGCAGCCGGACTCGAGATGGCCAGGGCCCGCAGATTCCAAGCGACGGTTACGTCTCGAGCGAGATCGCGGCCGCGATCTACGAGGAGATGACCTGGGTCGAGGTCGCAGGCGTGATCTTCTTCGACCTGGCGACCCGGGCGACCGAGGGAAACGCCGACATGATCCCGCTCGCGACCGTTTCGAGCGAGTCCAGCGAACGATGGCCATGAGGAACCGTTTGTTTCGACGACACCATTCGATCCGAGACTCACCGGGGCGGGTTGTTTCACGGACAGTCGAGACCACTCGAAGCGACGATTGAATTTTCTGTGTTGGTATGATGCCTTCCAGCTTGACCTCGGCCCCTCCGCTGGCCTCTAGGCCTCGAGACTCCGCGAACCGACTTCCGGCTCTGAGGAGATCTCGATCAAGTTAGTACATATCGCATGCTTCGGACGCACTCCGAGATTCCACGCGCGGGCCGCGGGGGCATCTTGCGGGGCAGAGCGCGCCCGCCCAGTCGGGCGGGCCCGCGGCGCAACAGTTGCACGTGCCACGGCCGGCACGAGGTGTCGAGCTACCAACGGAATAACGCAGGGGCGCGGCTGGAGTGCCACGAGTGAGCTTCCGGCTTGGACAACGCCCCGAAGGAGGGCTTTTCGGGGAACTACCGCAGTCATTCGCATCCCGAGGTGGCGCAGCAGGCGTGGGGCGAGATGGCCCAGGACGACCCGGGGCCGACGGCGACCTTGGTCAGGCACCTGGCCAACGAGCGCGGTCCGTCGAAGCACAAGGGCAGGGTCATGATTGAGCTGGTGGCAGACGCGACGCACTCCCGTCAAGACGGGCCGAAGCGCGTTCCCGTGGAGAAGGAGTTCGGCGCGGCGCCCTCGGCCCAGCCGGGTCGCTTGCTTGGGGCGGCGCCGCCTGCGACTCGCCATCAGATGCCAGCCGCGGCGAAGTCAGCGCCCTCTGGTCGCGGCGAAGGTTCAGCCGGTTCAGCAGGTGAAGACCCGGCAGAGCGCCGACGACCAGACAATGCCAGTGGACCTGGACACGCGCGATCAGGCTCTGATTAGGGTGGACAAGGAGGAAGCCCGAACGACCTCGCGACCAAGCAGCAGAAGATCTTGCACGCGGGCAACCACTTGAAGTCATTGACCCGGTCCAGGGCCGATTTCGCTGAGGCATGCCGTTCGCCAACCCCTCGGCTGACTTCGGGGATGGTTGCCGAGGGCTTCGAGCGCCGCCGGTGGAATCTCGAGCGTGGATGCGATTTCAACGCGACGGAGCTGGCCAAGGAGGCAGTTTCATGGGCGCAGGAGAAGTCGCCGCGTGAGATGCGGTCTTCAACGAAGTGCAATGATTTTTCGGCCACGCGTAGTCTCGCGCTAGAGTGCGGGGGGGGCAGTCAAATGTCAGGACTGCGCATGCGGGCGACTACGCGCCCGGAAGCTGCATGGGCGCGCGGTGGATCTTGTTTTGGAGACGCTACGCAATGACGGGGACATCTACTGGGAGTGGCCTTGCAATTTCGCTGGGGCGTCGCCGAGCTCTGTCGTCTCGGGTCTACGGCGGAGAAGATTCTCGGGCCACCTCTCAACGCGGCGCGGGTCGACGGATGCCGGGCTGGATTTCGCGACGACCGCGGTTTTTAGCGAAGCAAGGCTTGGGGCGTTCTCAAGTCGGACGAGCGCGTTGCCGCTTGCATGCCCCTGCGCTGCGCGCGTGAACATGCTCGCAGTGTTCTCGCGGGCTCTGCGGCGGCGGCGGCTGCAGCCTACTGCACCGATGCGATGGCCAAGCGCATCGTGAAGGGCTTCGCGCGGGACTTTCGCAGGAGCAACCTGGTGTCCGAGTTCTGGACCAATGCGCAGATGTGACCGATCGCTGGGGACAGCTCAAGCGCGCGCCCTGGAGTCCGACGCAGAGCACCACGGGGGCAAGTTTGATGATGAGAAAGAGCTCGAGGACGCGCGCAAGTGGATCAATGGGGCAGCACATTATTGGCGGCCTTGCGTCGCAGACGTGCCTCAAGGTCACGCTCCAGAAGCGAGGCTGACCGGCCTGGGCTTCAGAGATGGCGGGCGAGCTCGCGAGCGACGCGTACCTGGAGACCCGGGATGTTCAACGCCGGGCTCGAGAGTCGCTCAGCTTGCCTCCCCGGCCGCGGCAGGCAGCGAAGAGGGATGTTTCCGCGCTGGAGGTGCATGGTCGCGAAGTTTTCGCGGCGCTGCACATCGACGCGGCCCGTGAGCTGGCCGCCCGAGGGGTGTTTGAGGAGCTTGAGCTGCGCGGGCGACGTCATTAAACTCAAGAAGCAATTCAGACCCCCCCCCTCTCCGGCGAAAGTATAACGCGCCCGGCGCCGCCCCAGAGGCGGTGCCCTGGCAACTCGCGCCTTCGCGCGAACGCAGACGAGTCTCCTCGCCAAAACAACAGCAACAACATTAACATCGAAAACACCACCAATAAGTCCCACGCAAGGGAGAGTCCAGCTTTGAAATGGAACCGCCCGCGCCCACGATGGGGGGCGAATGATTCTGGCGGCGCGGATGCCGAGATATCGCGCCGCGCGCGGCGGGGGCGACGTCCTCGGACGCACTGCCCCGCGCGACGGCCAGGGCAAAATAATATTTCCCAGCGGGGGTGGCCATGAGAGTCGCACAGGGCAAAGATGATGAAGAAGATGAGAACAGGGGGGGGGGGGGATGCAGGGGGGCCCGTCTGTTTTCGTTTTTTGGGTATTCCTGTTATGAGTATTATTCTTCGTCTTATGCTTATGTGTAGTGCGATTATTATTCTTGGTCTCATTGTACTTCTTGTCTTCCTGGACAAGCTGTCGTGCTTATTTGTCGCGGGCGCGGCGCTGAAACGACGCGCCGCGCGCGGTGGGGGCGATGTCCCCGGACGCGCTGCCCCGCGCGACGGCCAGGGGCGACAATTTATTTGCGGGGGGGACGATGCAAATCGTATAGGGCAAAGATGATGAAGATACTGAGGAACATCTGTCGTTCTTATTATTGTTCGTTGTATTATTCATATTCGGATTATTCTTCTTAGACTTGATTTATTTCTGAATATTCTTCGTGCTCCTATATTATCGTTGGTCTAACTCTAATCATTATTCTTATTCTTATTATTATTGTTCTTATTACTTTCATGTCACACCTATTCTTGTTCTCGCTCCAATTCCAAGTGGGATGCCACCCGGGCCGGGGCGCGGGGGTCATTGATTTCTGTTCCATTTGCGCTGCGCTAATCGCATCGTCCGGGGCGGGGCCCATTGTGGTTTCTCGGGGTTACTTCGAGCCGAAGGGCCCGGATGCGCTGGGCCACTTCCTCGAGGGCCGGCGGCGACGCGAACCGCGATGCCGGTGCTTGATCGCTGATCCAGGCGGAGGATTCGCCAGTCAGGCGCCGCGCGATTGGCGCGGCATTCGCGACGCGGGTTGGGCTCGGAGCGCCGGGGAGTTGCGCGAGTTGACGGGGGGCCTGGAGGCGCTGATTCGCGCGATCAAGAAGCCGGCGCGACGGACTGCCCCGGACCAGCCTCCTCTTACTTTGGCAGACTGTTCGGCCGCAGCGCGTTGAGCACGTAACAATCTACGCAGGGTGCGGGTGTCAGGATGCACTCCTGTCCGGCGGGCCTTCGGAGCAGTCCGCGAGGGCCGCCTGTTCGCCGAGGAGGCTGGCGCGGTCAACGGCGACGGACTTGCCCATTCGGAGTTGCCGAGGGCACCGATAGGGAAGACCTGCCTGGAGGGGCAGCGCAGGAGCGCCGACAACAGGCTCAAACACTGTCTCCGTCGAAAGCTTTTCGAGAGCGAGCCGGGCGACTGGGGTATGTTTTTTCGACGAGGTACACAGACCGAGGAGTTCGAGGTGCTCGGCCCGGCTTGGCCAGGGTCGCGGCGCTCGAGCCAGGGGTGGATTTCGGCGGCAAGATCGGTGACGAGTCGAACGGGAGAGAGACCATCTCGGCGGTGCGGGTCGTCCATGGCATGCGAGTCATTCGATGGCATCCCTCGCAACTCCGACAATGTAGTCAGCGCGAGGTGGTGGTTTCTTCCATCAAGGAGGACGTATCGACAGGAATGCCTCGACAGATGTGCGAGATCCTCAAGAAGGCGGGCCAGAGCGATCACATCGACTTGGCAGGGGGCCCACCGTCGGAGAGAGAGGGGGCGAGAGAGAGAGAGAGAGAGAAAAAGAAAGAGAGAGAGACAGAGAGAGAGAGTGTGAGAGAGAGAGAGAGAGAGAGAGAGTTGGCCGAGTCGTTCGGGGACCCACAATCGTCCTCAGCCACCGACCGACCTGCCAGACAAACCGCCGACCGACCCAGCAGACCAGCCACCGACCGACGCGCGAGATCAACCAACGACCGACCGATCAGACGAGCTTCCGACCGATCAGTCAATGCGGCAACCCACGGGCCGACCAGCGCGGCCGCAGGGGGCCGCAGACGGAGAGTCGATATTTCGAGGCGATATTTGCACCCGCAAGGTCGGACATACCTGAGTGGAGTGCGATTCGGAGGGCAAGGCTACGACGGGAGCGGCATCCGCGCGAGGTGATGGGAGAAGGAGATCGGGCTAAGCAAGCTGACGTAGCGACGGAGATTGGCGGCGACAGCAATGACAGGGAAGACTACGGCGCTCCCGATGAGAAACAGGCCGTGGATCAGAGCGACGAGTCTCCCAAGCCAGACGGCCAGGAGACGCTGATCGAGACGGCACCTGTACATGGAGTCGTTCCAAAGGAGTCAGGGGAAGAAGATGAACCTGCGGGTGGCAAGCCTCCACAGTAGCGTGCGCGCTTCGGTGAGTCGGACTACCTAGGCGGCTTGCAGACCGATGACTAGCAGCACGACGCACGCGAGGCGGGCAGCG